AAATAGAAGAAGAGAGAGAGGAGATCTGCAGATGTGAAGGTGTGAAGATGTAGATCTGCAGATCGATGTGAGGGTGTGAAGATCTAGATCTGCAGGTGTGAGGGTGTGAAGATCTAGATCTGCAGATGTGAAGGTGTGAAGATCTAGATCTGCAGGTGTGAGGGTGTGAAGATGTAGATCTGCAGGTGTGAAGGTGTGAAGATCTAGATCTGCAGGTGTGAGGGTGTGAAGATCTAGATCTGCAGGCGTGAGGGTGTGAAGATGTAGATCTGCAGGTGTGAGGGTGTGAAGATGTAGATCTGCAGATGTGAGGGTATGAAGATGTAGATCTGCAGATGTGAGGGTGTGAAGATCTAGATCTGCAGGTGTGAAGGTGTGAAGATCTAGATCTGCAGGTGTGAAGGTGTGAAGGTCTAGATCAGCAGATGTGAGGGTGTGAAGATGTAGATCGGCAGGTGTGAGGGTGTGAAGATGTAGATCTGCAGATGTGAAAGTGTGAAGATGTAGATCTGCAGATGTGAGGGTGTGAAGATGTAGATCAGCAGGTGTGAAGGTGTGAAGATGTAGATCAGCAGATGTGAAGGTGTGAAGATGTAGATCTGCAGGTGTGAAGGTGTGAAGATGTAGTATAACGGCTGCTTTTTTACGAAGAACCCTTCGCAGGCGCTCTCGGGAAAAAGGCTCAGTACCATGATGTCTTGCATGACACATATGATTTCATTTTTGTGTGGAAAATCACACATAAATGGTCGAGAAAAGCTCGGTATCATGATGCCGTGCACGACACATGTTATTTCATTTTTGTATGGAAAATCCCACATAAATAGTCAAAAAAACATCGGTACCATGATGCCGTTTTTTTTGCTGCACCCAACCTCCGTGGAATCCGCCAAGACTTTCATCAACGAGCTGCGCAGCTCTGCTACAGGCAGCCAATTTCGGTTGGAATGTGTCTCCACACCACCCGCAGTAGCCAGGACTCGAAGCTCGTCTCTTCCTATTCCCTGACGAACTCTTTCTTTG